CTCTGTTTCTGTCGATCGAAAGCCCACTAATACGCTTTTGCATATTTGATATTCCGGGAGAGGAGCAAAGCCTTCTCTTCTCACTTAATATCTGCAACGCAAACTATCACCAGATTTAATATTACGTACTGGCAAAAGGATGTCTGGTCGGCAGCCCACTACTTTTCGTGCGTATTTATGACAGCAGCCGTAGTGACCGTTATCAAGATGGAATTTTGTCGGTTTTAGTGCCTACATCGACCCTGTAGACAGCCGTTTACTTTAGGATTCAGGATACTTCCTCTACGCCTGTTTTTGGCATTGAACAATAACCTTTCTGATTAACATCGATTTTGCCTGTCTTGCATGTGCAGTATGGAGGGCTTTGTGGGCCTCAGCTTGATTTGCGTGTCTAGAGGGACCTTGAGACGGTCGAGTTTTTAGCACTTTTGGACTTGTTATTACGGTCCTGAATTGTTTTTTAAACCCATTTCTTTGGTTGAGGTCTGAAAAATACACGTCAGAAACGTGTGCCTTTTTCGTGAGCATTTGCACAAGTGAGTTAAGCTGGATGTAACTGCTGGCATTTTTTCATTATTTAGGAATATTCGTATGATACGCAAAGCCTTGATGTGGTGGTCTGCGCGGCTTCATTTTTCAATTGGTGCATCGATGTTAATTGGCACATTTTTGATTACGCACCTTTTTAACTAAAAAACTTGTACTCTTAGGTGCTTGTAAAAAGGCAGACTATATTCTGTCCCGCACCCTCTCAGTCACCGTCTGGCAGTTGGCAAAAGAAGATAGGTTGCCGTTTACAATACGCGTACAATATGCTCAACCGACTCTGAAAGTGCCAATAGTCCTGCCGCAAGTTCAATAAAAGACGGATTCCAGCGTATGACGTCACTGAGAAAGCCTTCTCGTCAAACCTGGCCTTCAGCCCCCACTCGTGGACCACATTTTTAATGTAGAACTGCACCCTCAACGAGGGTACCTCCTGGTGGTATTGGTGTAAAGGGCCACCATCGTAGACATTTCTCTCAAACAGTCCCCCGGTTTGAAGGGGATCCCCTCCGCGAAGTTACCTCCGAGTGGGAGCCGTAACAGCCAACCAAGTGTACGGATGTGGTTATATACGACTGGGAGCAGATGCTGGGCTGGGCTGCGTTTGCGAGAAGCGAACGCAATGCCAACGGGACGATTACTTATTGTTCGGCCAACAATTCTGGGACCGAATGGTACTGGTCGACAATACTGGGAACTCTGGGGCCGGTCAAACCTGTATGGGTGCCAGCCGTTGCAAGTACAAGATGCATTAGATGCCACTCCAGTAGTTCGCCGCGGTATTTTCTCTGATTTCTGGATCGCCGAAGCAATAAATTGAATGTGAATGTATATGTCTGGTGGAGTCCAAACTTGTGAAATTTTTAGAACTCTAGATCACCCTCGGTGGGTTTGTTGTGACCGTGACGGACCTCCTTCCGGGTTATCTCTCCCGAAGCCTGCATGTGACACAAAAAATGGGGGACCCTGTCTAACTTTGTGAACCTTTCTGTTTGTGTTGTTTATCTGTTTGCGCCCAGCCTGCTGCGGCTTGCCCTTTTATAACCCACCCGCCGCAACAGCAGGATCGAGGTGCCATCTTAACTGTCCCTTAATTATCGCCCTCGTTTCAGTTGACCCTCAATACGTCAACTGTCCTCCTGGAAGTGGCTGGAACGGACGCTGAGGTCTGTAAGCGCATCCTTCGCGCTCTCATCGGCTGGTTGATTAAGTACGCCTCCTCTGCTTCCTCCGACAACGGTAGTGCTGAGGACCAGGGAGAATCGAAAGCCGAGGCTACGACGGCCCAATCACGCCTCATTTTGAGGCCCTTCCGCGTCGTGAACGCAATCACTGGCGACAGGCTGGCGCAGTATCCCACCGCCGCGGATGTGGCCAGCGAGCAGTTTCTTGCAGACATGTAAATCTGGCCGTTCGAGGTTAGAGGGCTCTAATATCAAACACTGTATTGTCTCTACCCTCCATACTTGTGACAAAAATCGCCGCTAAACGAAGAAAGTTAGGTCTGCTTTGTGAATGTTCATGTTATACAATTCGCTCACACACAAAGTATGCGAATGTTACACGTCGGCGAATTTGTATCCCGGTCCTCCATGAATGCACCAGGCCCTTGGTTATGCGCTTTCGTAAGCCTTGCTTGTATTAACATTTTCGGCGAACTGTTTCCCTTTTCCGCATGCACTCATCCGGCAATGAGAAGTTCAGCTTTTCTTGCCAGGTCCTGGCTTTTTAAAGGGAAAACCTTACTCTCAGGTGTGTGCTTCAGTCATTCTTGCTTTATGAGATGATCCCGACATCAGGAGAATTCTTTCCCGAAATACAAACTGCCTCTGGGAAGTTTTTTGTCGCTTTTCCGAGGTGCTTACGACCGGAGTTCTGTGTGAGATAATAACTTAGGTTCGATGGTCATATTACAGCATTCTATGGTTGTGAAATAGTCTCTAGTTAGCCAACATTAAGATCTCCAAGTCCATTTTCCAAATGTTGCACAAAGTCCATACCAGCACAAGGAACTAAAAATTATTAGAACAACTTTCCGGCCTTTTGGTGTCTCAGCTTTGCCGTCAGTTGGTGATTCTGGCCATTCGGCCAAAAGGTCACGGAGTCTGGAAATTCGGAGGGGGGTTTCCACCTAACACTGTAATACCCGTGAGCATAGACTCAAGACGTTCCCGTAACTTGTTTTGTGTGCCAGATCTGCAAACGCTGACGTTCATCCTTGAAATTGGGGATTACGTAACAGTGGCTTCCGTCCAACTTCATTAAAAAATGTCCCGGTAGGTGTGTTTGTGAGGGTAGTCCAGGTGCAATGCCTTCAACGAGGCCTTGGATTCATTTGCTGTTGTCATTAAATGGTCAAAGTAGTGTCGCCTCTTAATTGGCGACAATATTGAGGATAAAAATGTGTGATGTCACAAAGTTCCTAAATGTTCAGCTTTGTTGCTCAACTTAAAAGCTCACCGGAGCAAGTAACCCTGGCCATGAACCATACCTTTGCCTTCGTTTCATTCCCACAGAGATCATGTGTAAACAAGAAACCAAATTTGGTACAATGTGTTATCGCTGGTTGGATGTCCAAGGAGAATGGAATATGGTCAGGCCACCTCAAGTACCTGAGATTTGGCCGTTGCGTACACACCTTGCGCTTCCGGGGCACAAGGTCAGGCGAATCCCTGAGCCCGGCTTGTCATATTGACGGCCTTTATCATAATTTAGGCCATGCGCAGGCCATCAATGCTCCTCAGCGACATCGTTGCCTAAGACAGACGGATTACAAGCAATCTGTTCCCTGTGCTGTATGGGTAGCTTCCATCCACCGCTGCATTAGCACAAATACAACAGTCGTTTTCAAAGGGCTGCTTACAGCGATTTTGGCAGACCAGAAACCTAGTCCTTAGAATGATCTGGCGTTAAAAGAAATGGCTGGGAGATGTGAAGGTGTGCGGAGGTCGTGGTTGGCGCTTCCCTTACAGCAGCTGTAGGGGGAAACCACAATCGACGCTGTCTGAGAGTGATATGGCGAGTACTGAGTCCGCTGGAAAGATATCCTCCCCGCGCTTGCAGTAACCGAGAACTATCGAAAGTTATTTTAAATACGGCCAACGCGACGCCGACATCTGGGTTTACGTGTAGTCAGCCAAGTCTGTCAAGATTCAAACGCGTGGCTAGTTCGCTCATAAGATGCTGGGCCATGTGCTCGCTCCCTGCCGCACGACATCGGCAGCCGACTTTCTCTGGGCTCAGCAGTGTGTGCACCTAGAGTGCGTCTTTCAGAGAAGGCGCACCGAAACCTTTTTCAGATGCTAAGCAGACTTAGTTGTCCTGAAGTGTTGGTCACCATGAGTCCGGCCTGATTCAAGAATCTAAATTTGACCGCGCGTCCAGGCCCGAACCGAATTTAGATTGTTAGCAGATTTAACATTTCCCTGGCTAGTATTTCTACGGCCCTTCGAGTAAATCAACTCATAATGAATTCCTCTTAGGTACTTCAAAAGTGATCTATTTCAGCCACGTCAATCAAAAACGCTGTGACCCCGTGAAGTCTGCGATAACTACAGTCGTACTGTAAGTAAGCCACCTCCTATGGTGCAAAAAATCCCAAACAACGCTTCGCAGGGGTGAAAAGTTGGTCCCTCAGAGGATACGGACAGAAAATGGCCGCCCTGCGGGCGGAGTATAGGCCTAGTGAATGCATCAGCGCTGCCAGTGTGCGACAAGAAAGGGTTCGTGCGTCCAGTCAGCCCGCTTTAACTGACCTTTGTAGGAGGTACGCTGCAGAACTTTTGGCAATGCTAGGTCGCATGCCGACCTAGGCTAACATAATAAGACCGTCCTGTCATCGAACTCAGTCGGACTGGGCCGTAAAATCATGGACAGGAACCAGCACGTTGGCGCGGACTATCATCAGATCTGTGTCCACTTACAGTTAATTAAGCTCTTGACCTCTGCACGTATTCACTCCCTGCTAGGGGGTCCTGCGCTTTCACAAGCGACGATCTGGAATACGGTGTTTTAGGCTCGGTTACTTACGAATACTTTACTTCCAAACTTCCCGAATTCCCCACCTTCCGTCTCCTCAACCACATGTTACGGGCGGAATAGATCATCAATAATTAGATAATTTCCCCAAAAGAGAAGGTACTTTCTTTTGATAGAATATCGAAAGCGTCTTACCTCCGACCCCATCCCTTTCTCAGTACGAAAAAATAGCAAACAGTTGGAAAAAGTCTCAAAAAGCCGCTAAAGAATTCAAGTGGGTTTCGGGCAAGAGGAGTATGGAGGATAAGACGGAATAAGCGCGTTCAGAAGGCCGACATTCAGCGGCAACAAGGGCATATTTTAATAAACCCAGGCCGTCTCATTTGGGCCTGGCAAAAGACAGATCGCTAGGTGATAGTCTGACACAGCAGCGCAAAGACGCGCCGTCGTACATTTGGATGCAAGTTTTAGTTCACTCAGAGCACTCTGGTTTTCGGAGGCACTGCTTGTCTTGCACTGAGGTATTTGCAGTCTCGTATGGCAAACCTGTCGTTGGAAGAGTCAGATTGATGAGCGTTAGACGTGCGTCAAACCTCATGCAAAAAACATTAAAATATGATTTAGATATGAAGAGGTCCGCCAGATTGCGGCAGTAAAAGATGTGACTAGTAAACCCGTCTCAGGTATTTTCAACTAGTTAGATGGCAGTAGGAGGGTCGGAAAACTACTGTCTCCGTCTCTGACGAGCCCAGATTAAGTCCCAAATGAGATATATGGGCGTAGGCAGGTTGGGTATCGTTGCTTGGTCAGAATCCATCGCTCAGAGTAACCTAAACCTGACCGGCAATGTTGTGGAGCATGAAGCGCTGCGAAGGACCGTAGGGGGTACTGTGTGTGAACTCCCTTAAAACACGTAACTGCCGCCTTGAAAACTATCGACTGTGCCCCACCTTGCAAACGGAGATGTGGGATGGGTAGGCCGGATGGCATTACAGTTGGAAGGTCCCATCAGGCATTCTCGTAGGCAACAAGCACTTGGCAGCAAGCGAACGCCTGCTACTACAGCGGTTATTATTGCACGCATTTCGCGCTGAGTCGGTCTTATAGAAGGCATGAGGTTTCATGCTGCTAACGTCCAAATAAGCTAGTGATGGCAGTGCGATACATAAAAACACCGCTGTTACTAGTTTGTGCTCGGACCCAGGGGTATCGCCGGGTATGCATGACGCTACTTCCCCACCAAATCTCACAGACGAGACAATGCTTCGGATGAAGGTCACGCCAAACTTGAGCTAAGCGTTTATTTAAATGTATTGAAACGAGACTGCTTGCGAGAACATTTCTTAGGTAAATAATCATTCAATTGATGCCGAAATGGTCTTGCTGTGATATTATAGCATTTAGGACAGAGCGGTCACCGCCAATCGTCTCGGGCGATTTCGTGAAAGCGGATGACGTAAACGTTACCGATCCAAATCAGCTGGTATTTTAGAGAGTCCGATCAGAAAAGACCAACCCTCCACAACGCGACGCCAAAACACTCAAGCACGCAAACAACTACCGCATACTTACGCCTATAACTGATTCGGGAAAGCCAATAACTGAGTAACACGTAAAAATTTCAACCGATAAGTGCGCAACAACTTACTTTACGATCAGATAATGAATGCCAATAGTAGAGCAGTGCCACAGAGAGTGAGCATCGAAGAGCCAGAGAATAGCCGGAAAGTCAAAAATCTCAAATATTGAGGCACAGCCAATTAGAGTAACTGCCAGCTGGATGTATCTTGCGTATACCCGTTGCAGCCGATCAAATGCAAAGTGAGGTAGAAGCAGCCATCCAAGCACTGTCAGAGAACCTTGAAAGAAAAGGATATATTAATTTTTAATTCATAAGATACAAAATTGTCAATAAGTCTAGTAGCCGCAGATATTGCTTGTGACGGTAAACTGCAAAACCTACCCATGCACCAACAAGCACTTCAGGGGTAAAAGGTCAAGCTTTCAGGTGAGAGGAAAGCAAGACTAATGGAACCTCCGAGGATAAAGGAATGGCATCTCAAATTGGAGTGGAAAGCAACAGATAACATTTAGGCACGTATATGAAAGAACTGACTATATTGTCCAAGGTGGCATAAGAAATCGGGCTATAGAATTCAAAGAATACGCTCGTCACCAAACCCTAAAAAGGTGTACGGCCAAATAGAGCATCTTTTCCGGGTCCATCTGACCGACAACAAGGTGAATATATCATTTCGGCTAACTCAGTAGAGGCTGACGGTTGATCAACAGCGACCAAAATCTTTAAAAGCACATTCAACCAGTGGATAGTACCCAGGCTGTCATGCAAAATCAACAGATAGAACGCTATCTGTCTGGTTTGTAAACCTGTAGGAACGTCTTTAACAACTTACGACAACTCCAAATATAAAATGTCCATGTTGGCTGACTTTTCTACATTTGTGACGGTCGTACGGTCAGGCAGAGTGACCACATACTAGTCCGTTCAAGGGTCCGCAGTTTGGTTCACGTTAGCAGATCAATGCGTGGTGTCGATACCGGTAACGCCCATAGGTCAGATCATTTCGTCGTTCGTACACGCTTGAGAATTCACCTCTCATCCGCGCCAAATATGCTACGTTCTATACGACTCAATGTCACAAAAATCCGGCAACACTGCACTAGCTAGGCCCTAAGCAGAGAAATCCTGTCCTGTTTTACGACACGGGACGACGGCGAAAGCAGTAACCACCTGCGGTCGTCACTCAAAACATCATTGTATGGGGCAGCTGAGAACATTCACGGATATACCCGGTGAAGCTACAGTGACTGGATCAGCGGACAAACCCTGCAATTGTCTGCTCGGACGACTCGAACCAGGTCGCGTGACGATGACACCTTCCACCGACTGCGGAAGATGAAAACAAAGTTGGCCAGGGATAACGGGAAGCAATATTGGACTAGAATAGCGACTTCGATGGAAAAGGCCTCGAACGTTGCTGACACTCGAAAACTACCAATTTATCCGTCAAGTTGGCGGTAAGCCCTCTACACTGAGTAATTCTGTTCGCGACGTAAATGGCGGCTTTATTACTGACAACTCGGCCAAAGTCGAGCGGTGGCGTAAACACTTCGAGCACCATCTCAACTACGATACCCAATCCACCTCGCCCTTGCTCTCTCTGCAGCGGAGTTTCTTGCCTCTTCAACCCATGAAGTGCCACGCGACCCCTCTTCTGAAGGAGAGGTCGCCGATGCCATACGGAAGCTACGCAACAAGGCACCCGAAGAGGACGGAATACCCAAAGAAACCTACAAGTCTTGTGTCGACGCTTTGGCGCCATGGCTTCATGAGGTGATTGAAAATGCGTGGAGAGACGAGGTTGCTTCTGATGACTTGGGCTTAGGCAATCTTGTACCTATCCTCAAGAGGGGAGATAAGACAAGATGCAAGAACTACCGCGGCATAAGCCTCATCGACGTTGCTGCGAAGACCTTCGCTATGGTTCTACTCAGGCGATCCCGAGTTGTGAGTGACTCTAGGACCAGGCCCAACGAAGCTGGATTTCGTGCTGGACGTGGATGCGCGGACCAGGTATTCACACTGAGGCCCATCCTCGAATTTCGCCATAGCTACCGGCAACCGACAGCCGTTTGCTTTGTTGCCTTTGCCGCCACGTCCAATTCCGCCCATCGTGAGTCCCTGTGGTGGATAATGACACCAGATGGTGTAGCTCCAAAAATCATCGCCATGATCAAGGCCTATTATCGCTCCACCACTGTGCCAGCTCTGGTCCACAACAACTTTTCCTAAATGTCCAGTATTCGGTCTACGATTGTATCCCTTCGCCCATTCTGTTCAACTACGATATTGACTGGATTCTCGGGAGGGCCCTACACGAAGGTGACGGTGTTGAGGTTGAACCCTAACACTGACTGATCTCGACTATGCCGAGGATACTGTCGTACTTGCTTCAAGTTTTGCTGATCTGCAGTCTATGGTGTCACGGGTGAACGAGGTCGCCGCACCGGTCGGCTTATCCATAAACGCTGCAAAAAATAAAGTGTTTTCAAGCTGCATCCCTGGCCAGGAGATGATGGCCAGGATTGATGGCTGTCAACTTGAAGAGGCAGACGGTTTTAAATACCTCGGGAATGAGGACGGACGACATTGTCTTCCGAACTGACGCTGCCCGCCGGCTTTTCTCAAGCCCTAGAAAATGCTTAAGGATCCGACGTGACCTCCCGATCGCCACTGAGATTCAAGTGTACGGCCCATCTCTCTGGTCTGTCCTCATCTATAGTTGTGAATGCTGGGCTGTGTGTGTGGAGGACGGGCAAAAATTGGAGGTATTTAATCATCACTGCTTGAGGGCCATCCTTCGCGTGAAGTACACCGACTTCGTTTCAAATGAGGCGGTGTGCCCGCTGCGACATCGCAAAGATAACTCAGGCCATCTAAGTAAGACGACCAATGCAGTTTTGACATGTCCTCCGTCGTCCACCTCAGGCACTCAGTGTTACTGCACTCGATCCGACACCGTTACCCAATTGGCTCGATACAGTTCGTCAAGACATGGAGGTGGTTCTTGGACCTTCAGTATTTGGTCTCCGTCGTTGGCGAAGAGAGTGGGTTATACTGTCCAGATCTGCTGCCGCGGATAGTCACGCGTGGAGAGGTACAGTTCGGGACATCAACGAGGCCGGCTAGATCAGGCATGATCGCAGCCGTACTAAGTACAAGTACAAAGTACATGTTGCTTATGGCCACACGTGTGTAAGCATTATGGATAAAAGATAGTTAAGGGGTCTGCTTATTTCGGTTGCTGTGGTGAAAATGCCGTCTTTTACATTTTGCTAAACGGGATACGATTTTGGCATACAATATTCAAGGGCAGAATATAACTCTCATAGTACTTGAGTGGAGATGCAAGGGATCCAGCTTACCGAAAAAAAGGTTCATTTGCATGTTCTGGGCGTAGCCAAACCGAGTAAAGAGCAGACTGTATGCGTGACTGACAAAACAGATGAAAATGAAACTCGCAGCCACCACCTTTATTGGTGTCGATTGCTTGTATAAAGTCCGCATAATAAGTACAAAGAACAGCGCTACAACGTAGCCAAACGCCGACAAGTAATCCATTCGCTTGAGAAACCAAGCACTGATTACATCCTAAAAGGACTTACCTCTGTAAAACTGGTGTCATGAGTATGGAAGACGGTTGACCAGAACCACGCATTCATACCGACCTATGCAGAATATGACATTTCGGGACATTACCAACGAGAAGAACACCCAAGCAAAGGACATCGGTGGGCGGCAGGAGGCTTTTTCACAGAATGAAGTCAAAGTGTGCCACTGTGCGAATAAATTGAGCAGAGAGAATACGGCAGACGCGGGCTCTTGAATTCCGAAAATTCTCACCTGAGGCCACTAAGGTTAAGTTGCGTTCAGTAAGGAGTTTGTAGGAACCTTCCCATAAAACTGTGGCACTGGTAGCCCATCCTTTTGAAATGCTTCGACTGCCCACCACATGCAGCAGTATTTGCACTCATCTTCACAGTTCCATACCACAGCACGCTCGTATAAGGCTAGATCTGGCGGCCTATATACACTTGATGCCGTGGTGTTAGGAAGTGCAACATTGCACTCCGCGCTAAGACAGGCAGAAATGCATTGCCTGTAAACATAGCTTTGATCACCAACCGATGCGGTGGTAAGAGGGACAAGAAATGCCAATAAAGCTATTAATGTGTGATGAAGTTCGGCCTGTAAAAAAGATTCACGGAGTGAGTCTTGAGGTTCTGACATAATGCTTATTAATAAATACAAGCGAAGTGAAAAAAAACAGCGGTTTAAAACTGAATTAGCAAGCCCTGCCGGCGTTAGGCTATTAGCAGACTTCTGTCGCGTAGACCGGTTGAAGTAGAACAGACCACTCTGCAGACGTATGAAGCGGTCGACATGCATGTTTTACCTAACCACTCAGTAAGATGAGACAAAGCTGGCCTCTGGGCTGACGCAACCGAGAAGTACGATCTTGATGACGGAAGGAGTCATCTTCACCGAACCATGTCAATTGTTAGCAAAACTGCAATTGATTGCGCCGACTCAAAATTAGTTAACGGATTTTTTGAAAGAAGGGACACGTGGGTGAAGGGAAAGCGTGACTTTTGGCCGACGTTGCTGCTGTTGTTGTTGCTGATGATGATGAGGACGATGATGATGGTGGTGATGATTAATTATTATTACTTTCACTTTGACGACGACGATAACGGTATTGAAGTGTAATGCGAATGGACGGTGATATAGTCTTCAATGGGCCTGCAAAACTGTCCAATACCACTTTAGACTTGCGCACTTTAAAACTAACGAACAATATCAGAAATTCGCAAAAGTTCGTCCCCTGACAGCCCAGCCGTTCTTTCTGGCTGATAAGTAGTTTCCGTGTCCTGTGGAAATTTCGTTGGTGTTGTAATTGCTTATAAGACAAGTATCTATGTGTAATCTAGGTTTTATTAGGAATTCGGTTTCAAGGAAAGCACTCTGTCTATCATTTTGGCAGTCTGAAAGCCATATTCATTGCCCGTCGCAACAGGCTGGCAGTCCCGGTTTTCATGATAGTCATCAACTGCTTTTCATATGCCAAGTTCGAAGCAGGACCGTCAAATCAGACGTGTTCACTCCAATGTTCTGCAACACAGACACGACGAAAACTCGAAGGCGCACCTGAGTTACACTAGCCATCTGCTCAGGCGGATCAAACATGTGGCGATTGCCAAGCAGTGAAACAACTTACAAAATGTATAACGCGAAGTAATTCAAATATGGTCCGGATAATCCAGGGACATTGGGAATTAAAGAAACTTTCTGAACACTTCGACGGTGAGCAGCAGTCGAAGTAGATGAGGGTTTACAAGAAGTCACACTCCGTGGATCGCCCGAATTGCGTACAGGGTCACCGAGAACGAAGCTGAAAATCAATTACGTGGCTAGCGGCATCCAACATTACATATAGCGCAAATATCCCCATATCAGGTTGGCAGGAGCTACGAAACCGTCTCAACTGCGGCCCCATAGCCATCGCTTGATTAGGTCTCTTGTGTATGTATACATAAGGCAAGTTGACGCGGACTTTCCCAACCGTCTCCTTTGCAACCCTAATAGCAAGATAAGCCGATTCTAGATTAGAGCCTCGACATTCAATCGCTGCTGATAATTTAATGGTTACCGGCGCTCCTGGCTATCGCGTCGCTAAGGGCGCAAACGAATGCGCGCATGATTATTGGCAAATCAATCAGCCAAGGCGCTTGCTTTTGCGCGGGTTTCCGGGCACGCCACTTTCTGCACCCCAACGCTACTGCGTACACGCAGTTGCTGCTTTGACGGTGTTCTTTATTTGACGCGTCCCATAACCCCTTTCTGTTCTTTTTTGTTTGAATCTTGACGAAAATATCAAAGAGAACATTTGGCGATTAACCGTTAAATATGAATTCAAGGTACAGATGTCCGCACCAGTGTCAAAAATCCTTCTATTTGCATGGCGTATGTTGCCTTTTTAACTGCATTACGAGCGCTAGGGGCGTCTCTTACGTGCAGTTAGCCACAACTAAGTACTTGCTCGATGATCAAGTGTGCATATGTATATATGATTTGGAGGCTGCCTTCATCAAACGCCTAGAGCGGTCCTTGGACGCGGCAGGTAACAGGCTACAAAGAAATCAAACTGTCTCAGATGTGATTGGCAAGGCAAGTGCCTACATATCCTACATATATCTAACTTATAGAACAGGTAGCCGAACCGTCTACTTAAGTAGACGGTTCTGAATTCAGACCAATATGCGACTGCACCTTATGAATACGAACTTTTCCTGTCGCAGATGCTATACTTGTATGATATTTCCTTAATGTACTATCTATTATTAATAAGCAACTCGCAAAACACCGCTGGCTTGTCTTCACGGTTTATTTGGGTTCGGTTTTAAGTTAAAAGTCCACGGCACCGGCTAATACACGATAAACAGCTTGAGTATCAACAGGAAACGGTAGTTAAAGTTAAAAAACTGGGGTATTTTATTTAAAGGAAGGGGTTTACTTTAAATATCTATCTGCTATGCATTGTACAACAATCTTTTTTCGCCTTTGTACGTATAGATCGCTCAATCTCGACATGCCGATATCCGGGGTATATCGACAAAACGGCCAAAGTCGATGTCCAGACGATCTACCTATCTCGGCTTGTCGATATCGACCCAATACCTCGTCAACATCGACTGCTATCGGCGCATGAATGTTAGACCGTTAAGATCGACGGAATTCCCGGCGATTCCTCTTCCTGAGTCACACCAAGTACTGAGACTATTAAAAGGGCAAAACAAGAAAAAGTAGCGGTGGGGAAGTTCCGTTTAATTGACGAACAACAAATCGCGGGAAGCATATGTAGGGCTGGGCTGAACAGTCCACTGCAGACAGCTAAAAAGACAAAGGGTGAAGGATGAGCAACCACATCACCAAAAACAATTAGTGGGCAATGTAAATAAACCAATGACGAAAGAAAATCTGACAAGCAGAACATAGAGATAAATAAAAGGGATTGTGGAGAAGAAGGAGAAGGGACAATCATTCGTATAGTTATAGAGGTCGCCACTTATTGGTAAAGAAAGACCCTTTTATTCAGGTCCACGTGGTCTAAGCAATTGATAACTCGTTTCATTCTTTCCTGACGATAACCTTAGCTCCAATTGTTTAACAAGCAGTATTACTAATCCAATCAGTAAGCTTTATCCTAAACCTGCCGCCTACAAAGCTCTAACCCCAAAAAACCTAACTAAACCTCAAACCTAATCCAGGAATCAAACCTAATACCAAACCTAACCCCAGAATGAAAAATAACCCTAACACCAATCCTGAACATAAATCTACGAACTAACCCTGACCCTAACTCTAAACGTTGTCACTAACAGAACCCTGAGCTCATTCACTAATTCCTGACTCCTGACTTTTCATGGATGACGTTGTCTTCTTCCGTCAAGACCGTACAACTAGACACGGGGGTGGTTATCTTCCTTCTCTTAAATCCTACCTAAAGCACTCTTCCTATTACATGGATGCCTATTCACTCTTCTCGAGCTTCCGCTTCGCTCGCATTATTCTGTCACCGCAAAGTAATTCAATTAAGGTGTGTGTCTACAGTTCACCAATCTCTTCAGCCAGCATTGCTTTACAACTCTCTGAAATCATTACATTTATTTTTGTTATGACCCGCCCGGTACTTGAAATCCCGTGGAGCGTAAACGTACTCGACCCTTACCCCCAACACCAACGCGGCAGAGAAGGAGAACGCGACCGGCCACGAAAATGTGTATTAGGAAATTGCAAGTCAAATGTGTATTAGGAAATTGCAAGTCAAATTAACTGGAAGCAACGCATATTTATAACACCCTACTGTACTTCACCGGCATTCGACCCAATGCCCTTCGGAAAGAACATTCCGGTCGAGCCAGTCGATAATTCGAATATTCAGATCGATCAGGCCCAAGAGGAAAAGCCAATGGAGAGGCGCCACGATTAAGGTGGCAGCGCAGTAGAGAAAATGAACGTGGCCTCCCGTGATTGGCTGGCTCTTGTTATTAGGAGTGTAGGCACTCCCAACAATTTTGTAAGTTGCTTTTGATGTTGAGATAATCATTGAGAATTTTAACGTTCGGATGTGGATTCGGTTTCGAATATCTGTTCACCTAGATTCCAAGATATAGTCCATTTTTCTAGTTGATTTCGGCTTGTGCGATCTCCTACAAGAGATAATCACACTTTAGAACTTATCATTCCCAACGATAATGTTTTTTTTTGTTACTTTCAAAAAGGAACTTTTATTGTTGTCCACCCCCTGCCTTTCAAAAAACACCAGCACGGTTCGGACCCACCTAAAATACGATTGCGTGGACAACGAATCTATGAATAACTATATTGGGTTATTAGATCGGCGTAGCTTTCTCTCCTGTACTTTGTGACCTCCTGCCCAATGCGTTCAAGACGATCTTAGAAATCGTGTCTCGTAGATATCTCACGTCTAACTCTTTGCATTCCTTTGTTCATCACTTTCTTTACAAAGGGCTAAAAAGTTGGGACTGCAGCTTTGTAACCTTTCCACTAGCTACTTATCCGTTTATCTAAGAATCACAGAAATTTTGCAAATGGCCTCGAGTATGTGCAAACAGGTAACATGCGAAAGTGATCCGATCCCTGTGTAATTCGTTTCTAGAATCTTCCGTTATCGTCCCATCCCCGAGTGTGGTCACGAAATCACCACCCCTGCTAAACGACAATAAAATCTTCTTCATAGATGACATTGACAAGTCCGAGCTGTCTACTTCTTCCTTTGCATAACAATTTACGGCTGGATCCGAACTGGTTCTTTTCGTTCGTTCATTTTCAGACAGGGCAATTAATACAATCGATGCCTTGTCCGGTCTAATTAGAAACACATATGTTGTCTGAAGAACTC